AAAAAAAAAAAAAAAAAAAAAAAAAAAGCCGCGATCGGTGGTGGCAGTTCAGCGGCAGGTCCTTCGCTCCTAGAGGGAGTGAGGGACCTGCTGCCCCCGAATTGCCGCAGGTGCCGCCTCTCTCCCTTGGCCGCCCCAAGCACCTGCTTGTTAAGCTAGTGCCTGGAGCCGGCCCTGCTCTGTATTCAGAAGCTTCTTGAACTAGGTCAAACCAGTATATGCTATTTCTGCAAGGAGCCATAACTTCAAAAACTTATCTGCATTGTTTCAGCATTGGGGATTTTCATTAACTGCCATCCATTAATTTACTGCAGGAAACATCTTTTAACTTACCCATTGAGCCAGGGATGCTCACTTGCAAGCCCACGAAGATATATATAAAATTTATAACATTAATACAATAGTCATTGAATAGTCCATGTTTCAAAAGCATCTGTCACAATTTGTATTTGAATAAAAGCTCTTTCCCTTGCGGTCCAAGATTTTCCACTGTTTGATGCAGGACAGAAGTGATAATCCACTGTAGATGACATCAGTCAGTCATTGTGGAATTTGATTAGTTGTTGCATGCAGTGATATGGATCTCATTCCGGCAAGTGCAGCGTGGAACATGCAGATGCAACCTCTAAATCAATCTCTAAGCCAAATTCAGTGATAACAAAAATGGTGGTGTAAATTGTTCGGAAAATGGGTGCATGTGAGTTTGAGAGGCAAAGTGGTATAAGCTGCACCAATTTGGCATTTAAAGGTATTGAAAGTGAGTACAGAATACAAGTGGGGGAGAAAGGTGAGGTATGGAAGGAAAAACATCTTACAGGAAAATGCAGGGGAGGCTGCTAGGCTGGTTTCTTTTAATAAAGTTACATCACCCAGAAAACTCCCATTGCCAAATTCAAACCTGGCATAAGTGAACACAAGTCACAGTGACTTCAGTGGAAGTTGTTAATCTTTACTGCAGGGATTAGTTTAATGTTTATTTAATGTCAAACTGGTGCAAATCATACTGTTCCGCCACTCAACACTCATTCATACCTGTCTTCTGACGAATGTACACCTGTCATTTTACTGTACATAACTAAGGCTACAATTTTTTCACAGAGTTCGTGGAAGTCATGGAATCCGTGACTTCCAGTGACCTCCATGAATTCAGCCCTGTTGGCCAGGAGCTGCAGGTCCTCCTGCCGCCCTCCGTGGCCACAGGCCCCCCAGAGCTCCCAGCTGCCGCAGGGGCGGGGCTGCAGTTCCTGAGGTGCTTCGGGCGGCGGTCCCCCCCAGCTCCCAGCCAACGCAGGCGGTGGGGCCCCCAGAGCTTTAAGCAGCTGCGGGCAACAGGGGCTCCCCTGCAGCTCCTAGCTGCCACGGGGGGAGCAGGGGTCCCAGGAGCTCCAAGCCACTGGGGGTCCTTCAAAGCTCCCAGCTGCCGCAGGTGGTGGGGGGACCCTGGAGCTCTGAGCCCCCACAGGCAGTGGGGCCCCCAGAGCTCGGAGCAGCCCATGCAGCTCCCCAACCTCTGCAGGTGGTGTGTTGAGAAGAAATTTAGGAAACCATAAGGAAAAACTTCCCAACCAGGAGGTGAATTAAGCTAGAAATGATCTTACAGGGGGAGTGTTGGAAGTCTTGTTGTTTAGGATATTTAAAAATAGACTTGATAAAACATAATTAAATGGATAATAGTGAACAATCCTGCATCACTGGGGAGATAGAATTAACATTCTAATGGGACTTGTCTTCTTGTGGAGCAGCAATAGTTAAAGTTGAAACTAGCTTCTCATTTAAGGTTTGTGTATATTTTTTTCTTTTTGAAACCCAAACTGTCACCAAAAGAAACTGAAACTTCACATGCCACCGCTTATCCTAAAGTAGAGTTCCTCGGTGAAGTTTGAAAAAATTCAGCAAAGCCATTGTAAATCTATGATGTCTCAAAATTTCCCTTGTTCATTTTTTGAAACCTCTCCTAATGGCTTTTTGGCTCATTGCATCTCGGAAACTCCAGTCTCTGCAAACTTCTGACTTCTGTCAGCAAAGTGAGTTGCTCCTGCTTCACTATTCCAGTGACACCATATATCATTGCTTATTCATCCTGTGTGCTGTCTTAAAGCTGAAGATTACCAGGGTATAAAAATAAACATCTTAAAGTTTTTGAAAAAAAAATCAGATTTTTACAAGAAACAAAACAATCCATTCCTGTCTTGTCTCTCAATAATTGTGGTGATTGTTTCAGTCTTTAAACCCTGAGTCGTATTTTCAATTCCTCATACATTTTTTTTCTAGTAATGGGGAGTGGTGGGGGTGGGGGCAGGGACAGTGACCTTATGCAATGTATGTTTCAAAATATTTGCATATATCTTAACTGTGAAGAACATTCACGTAGTCTTTTGACTATCTGTACCGGGGGTTTTGACATATGTAGAAAGGTCTTGTATAAAAAAAAAACCTTTATTTTTATTCATCATCATAATATAATGCTACTTATATCGTGTCCTTCCAACAAAGTATCTCAAAGGGCCTGATTCTCATTTACACTCAGGCCCCTTCACACTGACCTAACGGTATAAAAGGGCCTTAAAATACGCTTACTTTAAGACCTCTTTATACTGCTACTGAGGTGTTAAAGAGCCTTATTGTTGATGAGAATAAGGTCTGTGTTCTGCAGGCATTAATCAATAAACCCACATAACACCCTCTTGAGGTCGCAGGTAGGTATTTAAATATATATAACACTTTCAAAATTCTGAGATATAAAGCACTTGCTATACTTCTGGCTTCATTTCATTCTGCTTGTAGGTAATTAGGGTGGTACAGCTCTGTTGTTATTTCACTGAACAGTGCACACAGTATTCTTTAGATTCATTCAGAGTGCTGTACCAGTTTCCCAATATATTTCAAGTTTTCTTTTCCTGATTTTAATGAAGGCTGTATTTGATAGACCTCTCCAATATTTTGCATTATTTCAGCTTCCAAACAATTTGCTGAAGAGGTCTTAAAAGCCCACAATGACTACAGGAAGAAGCATGGCGTCCCACCACTGAAGCTTTGCAAGAAGTTAAACAGTGGAGCACAACAGTGAGTTCAACCCTTCCTTTCTTGTAATGAGACTTTTATCACATATATGAATTAAGCATAGCGCATTCTATTCTTTTACCCAGCACCGGGATCTGCCTATGCATATCCCAGAAATATGTGCACTTTGATATGTATTGTCCTGTGTTGAGGTGTTGCCTCCATGTATGATGCTTCCATAAATGATGCTTCCGTACCAGTGAATCTCTCGTGGTGGTGGTGGTATTCATATTCCTAGCTTCTAAGGCCAGAAGGGACCATTCTGATAGTCTAGTCGGACCTCCTGTATAGCACAGGCCATAGAACTTCCCCCAGATAATTCCTAAAGCAGATCTTTTAGAAAAACTTCCAGTCTTGATTTTAAAAATGCCAGTAATGGAGAATTCACCGTGACCTTTGGTAAAATTGTTCCAATGGTTAATTACTCTCATCGTTAAAAATTTACACCTTATTTCCAGTCTGAATTGGTCTAACTTCAACTTCCAGCCATTGGAGTATGTTACATCTGTCTCTGTTAAACTGAAGAGTCCATTATTAAATATTGGTTTCCCACATAGGTACTTATACATGGCAATCAAGTTACCCCTTAATCTTCTCTTAAGATAAATAGATTTTGCTTCTTGAGTCTTATCACTGTAAGGCATGTTTTCTAATGCTTTAATCATTCTTGTGGTTCTTCTCTGAACCCTCTCCAGTTTATCAACATCCTTTGCAAATTGTGGGCACCAGAACTGGACACAGAATTCCACCAGTGGTTGCACCAGTGCCAAATACAGGGATAAAATAGCCTCTCTACTCCTATTTGAGATTCCCCTGTCTATGCATCCCAGGATCCTACTCTTGTCATCTGCAAAAGTACCCTATTCTGGAGATGGAATAGTGGAGAGATACAATAATTTCACAGAGCTTTGACTAATATAATAACACCAGACCTTTGATTAATATACATTTTTGTGAGACTACTATTTTGTGCTCTGAGGGAAGAAGGATGGAAGAAAGTATCTTTTAGAAACATAGGAATGACCATACTGCATCAGTACACTAGTTCTTCTGGAGTCCCTGAAAGTAGGTATACTAGATACTACAAAGGAAGGTATACAAAATCTGAGAATGGACAATATATGAAATAACCTACCCTTAAAATAAGTTTCTTCCTACTCCTGACAGATAGATAGTGGTTGGTTTGTGCCTTAAAGCATGCAACCTTATATGCTTTTATCCTTCTAATGTAACTGTGTAGTAAAAAAGTCTTCTTGTTATCTATAGCAATAAATCATTTTTGAGTATTACTAAATTTTGACCGCAATAAATCCTGCGGTAGTGAGTACCCCAGGTTAATTAGGCCTTGATTTAAGAAATGCTTCAAAATTTGTTGTGTTATAATTATATCTGATGTCCCCTTGTTTTATTTGAGAAGCTTCCAATTGCCTTTCTCTACACGATTAATTATTGTACATATCTCTCAGGTTCCCTAGTATTTGTCTTCTCTCTAAAATGAATAGTCCTGCTCTTTTCAGTCTTTCCTACAGGAGCCGCCCCATTTCTACAATCCTTTTCATTGGCCACTTTTGGACTCCTCCTACTTCTGGCATATTGTTTTTGAGATGCAATAACCAGAACTTAGCCCAATATTCCAGGTGGTGCCCACACATTGGTTGTATACAAACAGTAATATTCTTACTGTTTTCTAACCCATTCTTTATGCATCCTAAATTTTTGGTATTTTAACTGATTGCCTTACACTGACTTGTCCACAGCCACCCCAGGTCTTCTCCTGCATGATTACAGTTAATATAGTCCACAGCAGTGTTTATGAATAGTTCAAATTATTCTTTCAAATGTGTATTACCTTGCATTTGTCTCTATTGAATGTCATCTGCCATTGTGCTGCCCAATTGCCTAGTATTGTTAAGTCTCTCTGGAATTCCTCACAGTCCTCTCTGTTCTTGACTAATTTACCACTTAACTTTTCCCTGTATGGTGTGGAATGAAGAGAAACCTTTGCTTGACTGATGTTAGTCACTTTGATATATTTATTTTAACTTTGGAAGGCACTCAGATACCAGTGTAAACAGGCACTACAAGCACCTAATAACTTTTGTGTCATTGCAGATGTAAGCCCCTATTCCAATCATTAATATATTAAACATTGGTCCTAGTAGAGCACCTTGGGCAACTTCGCTGTACACCCTCAATCAAACAACTCCCTGTCATTAGCTGATGCCTCACACTGTGCAGAAGACTTCACAGAAAACTTGGGCATTGGTGGCACCTTGTTCTCTCCTCTTCTCTGCTTGTGGCACACAATAGTTTAGTCTCCTGATAACTGACATGTTTTTTTTTTAATTAAAACATCACTGGGCTCAGTATAGAGGTCTCTGGGTGAAATGCCATGTGATATACATGAGGTCAGAGTAGATCAGAGGCTCCCAAATTGGATTGATTCACATACTACCTTCCTAAAAAAATTGATGTTTGAGGTACCACATGAAAATTTGTCCTTGTTGTGCATATTTATTTTAGGCCTTAGGAGGCTTACCTTATGTATTTCCAGATTCTATAGAAAAATAAATGCATACAGAAGCCTCAAATATTTGATTATAATATTTGAAAACATCTCAGGTTTTTAGACAGTGCAACAAGAAGCAGCACATTGAGGTAGCCATTATTATTATTGGCCTTTCATAGTACTCAGATTACAAGAAACAATTACATATCTCATCCATGATGCATTGATCTGTATTGGTATGCGGCTGTACTACATGCAGTGGCTTGACTTTTTAAATCATCTCATTTTAAATTCAGAGTTCCTGCTAATTCTTATCTGGATGGTTGTTGAACACAAGCCAAAGGTCACGTTGCTTTCCTTTTGCAAGATGTAAATCAAGAAAAACACAAAATACTTTGAGTAGCTGTCAGAGAAAAAGAAGAGTGCTATTAATGAGAAGGGGACATATCTGTGTGAAAGGGCAGGGGGGCTCAGCAGGTGGGGTAGAGAGGTGAGGACAGTGCTTAAAGTGGTCTGAAAGAAGAGGTGGGGGTTCTATCCTAACCTGGGAGCAGCAGCTTTGGTAAAACAGTGCTTACAGTGCACCTCCCAGCAACCCAGCTTGAGTTTAAATGTCTTTTACTAGGTCTGTGATCTTTTGCATGCTCCTTCTTGCCCTCTCCACTTTAAGTGCTGGTGGAAGAGTCTTCGCTGGAAGTTGGGGCCTTTATGTGGGTACCTGGCAGCTCCAGGAGGTCTTTTGCTCCTCAGCAGTTCTAGCCTCCACTCCCAAACATGGCCCCTGGACATCTGCAATGCTGGACAAACTGCACCGTGGCCCCGTTCTTAGGATGAGGCTCAGACTGCAGCCAGAGCAATGTGACTCTGCTTAGTCCTGTAGCCAGACTTTTATTCACTGGACCTGACCAGCTGCCACCCCACCCTCCCGGCCTCCCTGCAGAGGCAGGGGGAATTCTCCATGCATCCCCTGCCTTCCAGCCCTGCAGGGGTCAGGCCTCAGGCCTCGGCCTCTGTGGGGCAGGGAGTGCAGAGGAAGCCCCTGCTCTGCAGCGGTTACTTATGTGTGTGGTGGGGGTGAGGGGGCTTCAATCCCGTGGCTCCCTGTGACTGTGAGCTTTGCAGCCGCCCTGAACCAGCCCTGCCTGCGCGTGTCTTTTTGGATGAGAGGAGCTCTTGTGGCACAACAGGGAACTTTGCACGTTTGCTACAATAACTTGAGCAGTGTAGCCCTGTACAAGTAGAAGACTATGCCGGCCTTCTGTTCTGTGTGCAGCGCCTAGCACAACTGGGGCCTCGTCCTAGGCACTACAGTGACGCAAATAATAATATAGCAGAAAGGCAGCTAGCTGGGTGCCTGGTGAGAGTAGAGCGCCCCTGTGGACAGCCACAACGCTCAACACACCACCGAATAAAACTACTCTGCCGGCGCAGTGGGCAAGTTGTTCACCTTTGTGGCTGAAAGCACCATGTTGCTTCTTGAAGTCGGGTGGCACCTTAAAGACTAACAGATTTATTTGGGCATAAGCTTTTGTGGGTAAAAAAAACCCACTTCTTCAGATACATCTGAAGAAGTGGTTTTTCTACCCACAAAAGCATCTAAAGAAGTGGGTTTTTTTACCCACAAAAGCTTATGCCCAAATAAATCTGTTAGTCTTTAAGGTGCCACCAGATTCCTCGTTGTTCTTGTGGACACAGACTAACACGGCTACCCCTCTGATACATGTTGCTTCTTGGGCATTTTTTGGCCTCCGCGGTGCAGGAAATGACTGTTCCTTTGGAACCGAAAGGGTTTTTTAGAGTTTTGGGTGTAACCCTTCCAACAGGCTCCCATACCATGTTCATGTACTGCGGTTTGGGAGCCCCTGGACTAGATGATCTAATGGTCCTTCTGGGCTTAAATTCTTTTAAATCATCTCGGTCCACACTGAAAATTGACTATTTATTTCCTGCTCACTGTTTTTTGTCTCTTAAACAATCTCTAATCCATGACTATTTACCTCTCATGCCACGATTAATTTGTTCTCTTTATAACTTCTTGGCTGGGACTTGGGAACCCCCCCCAAATATATTCTAATTTATAATTGTAGGGTTACCATACGTCCGGTTTTTCCCGGACATGTCCGGCTTTTTGGTAATCAAACCCCCGTCCGGGGGGAATTTCCAAAAAGCCGAACATGTCTGGGAAAAATACTCCCAGCTTCCGGCATCCCTGGCTTACCTTAGAGCGGGCTCCAGCGGCTGCTGTGCTCCCTGACTCCTTGGCTCTTCAAGAGCCGAGCTGCCCAAGCGCTACTGGCTTCGGGCAGCTCGGCTCCTTCCGAGCTGTGCGGCCCCGGCCGGGCACTTCCGCTCCGGGGGCACAGGGTCTGGAGGCATGGGGGCTGCCCGAAGCCGGTAGCGCTCGGGCACCTCGGCTCTTACAGAGCTGAGGAGTCAGGGAGCAGCACGCAGCAGCCGCCGCCGGAGCCCGGGAGGGGAAGTGCCCGGCTGGGGGTGCAGGGTCCGGAGGTCTGGGGGCTGCCCGAAGCCAGTAGCGCTCGGGCAGCTGTTTCACGTGGCTGGGAGGGAGGAGGGGGAATGCGGGCACTCAGGGGAGGGGGCGGACTTGGGGCGGGGCCGGTCGGGCAAGGGGCGGAGTTGGGGCAGGGGCGGAGCCAGGGCCCTGTGGCGTCTCCTCTTTTTTTCATTTTTAAATATGGTAACCCTAATAATCCATATTGTCCCTATGCAGATTTTTCCCATGTAGGGAACTAAAAACTATAGGAATTGGCACTTACAGCAGTTTCTGCAGGTTCTTTTTCTTCTCCGTACACAGAAGTGGCAGAAGCTGCAGCTCCTGGATTCTCCAGGATCGACACAGATCTCAGTGACATGAGGCTTTGTACCAGACCCTCTGTGGCAGAGAGTCATGCTGTATAGAAGTGGGGAGGCCCTAGAGGCAATAAGAAGGCAGAAGGCCTCTGGACTCCTCTCCTCATGCTGCTGAGATCTGTGTTGATCTCGGAGCACCCACTATTTTAAGCGCCTGGAAATTCAGTAACAGGATTATAAACCCTCAGGTCAGTGTGACTGCTATCTGCATGCGATATTACCTGGTACTGCTCTGTCACTGGTGTATGATTCCTTTGCTAGGTATGCAGCAACACTGGCTAGCACCAAGGTCCTCCAACACAGCCCTGAGTCTTCAAATGGAAAATGTGGAGAAAATCTAGCGTGGGCTTCCTATGATCAGCCAGGTAAGTTTGGTCTTTGCTCCTAACTCATAGATATTAAGTAAACAAGCCTCTTTAGTCACTTTGAACTAGGCATGTAAATATTTTTAATACAAAGGCCCAAATCCCATCCTGGCTGGTCGGGTGGCTCAGAGCAAGAACACAGGTAGATATTTCCTCAGCTCCAGAAATCTTGACAGTATGAACCTGGTTCCATGGGACTGGCTTAGGGGATGTGCAGTGGTGGACACTTAAACTGCTGTGCTGAAAAGAAGATGTGCATGCTGCAGCTCAGGGCCGCCCGGGGGGGGGCAAGTGGGGCAATTTGCCCCAGGCCCCGGGCTCCACAGGGGTCCCCACGAGAACGACTGAGGCTCCCTCCCCGACCCCGCCTCCGCCCCTCTCCCGGAACCTCAGCGCATCCAGGAGCGTCCCTGGCTCCAGAGGGGCCTGAGCTCCTCCCCGCTCAGAGCCGCATGGTAAGGGGGCGGAGCTGCGAGCTCTGGGCCGAGTGGCGGGAGCTCAGGCCCCGCTGGAGCTCGCAACCCCACCCCCTTACCACGCGGCTCTTAGCGGGGAGGAGCTCAGGCCCCACCGGAGCCATGCTGCAGCGCTGTCCAGGGACGCTCCTGGATGCGGCGCGCCGAGGTTCCGGGTGAGGGGGAGCCCGGGGGTAAGGGGCTGGGGCCGGGGGGGTTGGATAAGGGGCAGGGAGGGGGCAGAGGTTGGGGGGGGCGGTCAGGGGACAGGGAACGGGGAGGGGGTTGGATCGTGGGCGTTCTGGGGGTCTGTCAGGACTCGGCGGGGGGGGGTGGATAGGGGTCGGGGCAGTCAGGGGACAGGGAGCAAGGGTGGAGTCCCGGCGTGGTGGTTGAGGGGGGTGTCTGGGGAACGGCGAGGGGACAAGGAGCAGGATGGGTCGGGGATTCTGAGGGGGCAGTTGGGGGGCAGGAAGTGGGTGGGGGTCGGTTAGGGGGCAGGGCCAGGCTGTTTGGGATGCACAGCCTTCCCTACCCTAAAGCTCATTCAGCAGTTTGAGGCTTGCAGAAGAGCCAAGTTGTTAGCTTTTCCATTAGGGCTGCCGTCCACTAGCGTAGTTGGGGGGGAGCAGGAGAAGCGGCCGCTCCCCCACTGAGCACATATCCAAAAGTGGTGCCTTAGGCGCCGACTCGTGGGTGCTCCAAAATTTGGTGGGTGGGTGCAGAGCACCCACCGGCAGCTCCCCACCCCGCCCCACAGCCCCAGCTCACTTCCACTCCGCCTCTGCCTCCTCCCCTGAACGCTCCGCCCTGCTCTGCTTCTCCGCCCTCCCCCCCGCTTCTCGCGAATCAGCTGTTTGTGTGGGAAGCCTGGGAGGGTGGAGAAGCAAGCGGCGGCGTGCTCAGGCCTAGGGAGGCGGAGGCGGAGCAGAGGTGAGCTGGGACGGGGAGTGCAGGGCCGGCTCTAACTTTTTTGCCGCTGCCCCAAGCAAAAAAAAAAGCTAGGGGGTGCGGCCGGAGGAGCGAGGCGGGGGGAGCGGCGTGGCTGGAGGAGCCAGGGGGGGGGGGGGGGGGGGCCGGGGGGGGGCCAGGGGGGGGGGGCGCCTTTTTTATGTGTTTGCTCCCCCTGCTCTTAGAACCTGGCTACGCCACTGCTGCCGTCCCTTTCACTTCTCAAATGCCAAATTATAGTCTATATTTAATGTCAGTGCCATAGGGAGATTCATGTCACGGGAGGGTAGCTTCATTTAAAATTAGCCACTGGGGGAGGGATCACATGAGAAGAGCAATATCCTACACCACCTACCTCCTTCCCAACCCTACCAAGGGAGACCCCCCTCCCCTGCATTCCCTGAGGCTTCAGAGGGGTTAATTCAGTGCTTCTCAAATTTTTGTACTGGTGTCCCCTTTCACATAGCAAACCTCTGAGTGCGACCCCCCCCCCCTTATAAATTAAAAACACTTTTTTATATATTTAACATTATTATAAATGCTGGAGGCAAAGCGGGGTTTGAGGTAGAGGCTGGCAACTCGCGACCCCCAGTAATAACCTTGTGACCCCCTGAGGGTTCCTGACCCCCAGTTTGAGAACCCCTGGGTTAATTTAATTTTAGCACCTTGTGTCCATTCACATGCATGTGCTATTTTGAGCATTTCAATTTTCACAACATAGGCTCATCCCAGATTCTAGAACAAGCTCAAATGCTCAGTTCGTGGAGTATGTACATAAGCTATACTAAAGACAAACCCACAGTAACCGTCTCCAGTTTGTGAGGGACCCCATGGAGCCGGTCTCTAGGAAACAGATAAATGCATGGAGGTTAAGTCCATTAATGGCTATTAGCCAGGATGGGTAAGGAATGGTGTCCCTAGCCTCTGTTTGTCAGAGGGTGGGTGGAGATGGATGGCAGGAGAGAGATCACTTGATCACTGTTAGGTTCACTCCCTCTGGGGCACTTGGCATTGGCCATTGTCGGTAGACAGGATACTGGGCTGGATGGACCTTTGGTCTGACCCAGTATGGCCATTCTTATGTTCTAACCTAAATGAACCCAAAGTTATGGAGACAGATATGAGTCAAGGAAGCCAGCAGAGTATCAGAAACCCGGAAAAATCTCTGACTGGATGGGCTCAGGCGTTTGGTCACAAGCTGAGGTGGTTCAAAAGTTTTGGATTTTTTTAAGCAGAATTTTTTTATTGTTTCTTTAAACAATCAAACACAGCAAGCAGCAAATATTTGGCCACACACTTCTGAAACCCCAAACCATATTCAGGTTTTGGCAGACTAATTTCAGCTTTTCAATTTAAAAAACCACAACAAATTTTGAAGGAAAGCAGACATTGTCCGTGATTTTTTTCTGCTTTTTAAAAACCCCTAGTTTTCGATCCAAAAAAAGTTTTGACGGAAAATATTTGTCCAACCCTTTTAATGAGCTTTAGTGCCTTTTAGCACTAGCTGATGCTGAGAACCAGTGATAGCTTGTAAAGAAGTTTTCTCAAACTGGGTTTGTGCTGAGATGCGGAAGGTTTATTTTTCCCAGGGCCGCCCGGCGGGGGTGGGGGGAACAAGTGGGGCAATTTGCCCCGGGCCCCGCAGGGGCCCCCACGAGAATATAGTATTGTATAGTATTGCAATTTTTTTTATGGAAGGGGCCCCCGAAATTGCTTTGCCCCAGGCCCCCTGAATCCTCTGGGCGGCCCTGCTGCAGCTAGCATGGTCTGCTAACGGCAGGTGACAGACAGCTGGTGGGCTGGATCTGCATGCTGTGAGTAGCAGGCCATGCCCCTTCGGGGAAAGAAGCCTCCTACACCTTCTCTATTCCCTGTCCCAATTTTGCACCAGCACAACATAGGAGAGTCGTTGGCCCAACATTGCCAGGCAGCCTAAGGGCTTGTCTGCCCTTGAAACTCTACATTGGCACAGCTGCAGCAGCACTTCCATGTAGACATACACTATAGCAATGGGAGGGATTCCCCACACCCCTGAGAAACGTAGTTATGCTGATGTAGGATTTCAGTGTAGATCAGCCCTAAGTCAATGCTAATTGCTCCTGCATTCTCCTCTCCAAGTGTGGGAACTGCTATATGAATAAATCACTTGTAGAGACCTTTGTGTCAATACCTTTGTGGTCCCTCTTGAATCACCAGTGCAAATACTTTCTGACCTAAAAGAGAAATGACTTTTATATGGTTTAGTTTAGACATGTGACAAATCGAGCTCTTAGTAAAACTATCTCACATAGGCAGCATGTGGTGAGTGGTCAAGAAGAACAATTTTCACTGAGCTCCCATCCATCCCTTCTCCAGTCCCTTATTTTAGTGACTTTAAGGCTTGCTTTCCCCCTGCAGGGACCAGGCAATGCAGTAGGTTAGGACTCTATCCCTTCCAGAGAACATTTGACTTAGAAGAAAAGTAGTTTCATACTGTCACCTTAGACCGGGATTTTCAAAAGAGTCCTGGGGAGGTAGGAACCCAAATCCCATTGTTATTAGGCCTCTAAGCACCTTTGAAAATCCCAGACCTATCCCTTAATGGATATTCGTTCACAGTAAAAAAATCATTACACACTTTGGCTCACTTCAGAACTATTAGCATGATGTCCTTTGGAATAGCATGAAACATGCTTTTGGGGCAGCCTGGGGGAGCATAGTTGTGTGAAGTTAGCACAGGGCTTGTCCCTTGCTAGCTGTACTTTATTTCTTCCTTTTTATTAGCACTAATGTTCCACAAACATTTTTAACAATTTATATGATGACTTTGTTCGACAACTTAGCGAGGAAAAAAAAACCCTCTACATTATATAATCCTTACTCCTTCATGGAGCAGTTTTTTCTTCTACATGCTGTTTCCACAGGTGTTTTGTCTAATCTGCATGGAGAGCTTTTTATATGGCTGTATCTAATTTATTTATTTACAGCATTGCATGTCCTGCTGAGCAGTCTGAGCCATGTCCTCTCCTTGTTCCCCAAAATGATAACTTTTATGATACAAATCTTTTGAGTCAACTACATTGCCTATAGAGCAGGGCCTTTTTAAGTGCTTGTGAGTGAAAGCTAATTGTGTGCAGAAAATTGTTCTCAGCTGTTGGCTTAGGCTATGCCCCTGTGGAGTTGGTTCTCTTTCCATTTTTTTCCTTGTCCAGTTCCATCCTGATAATTAATTTGCGTCAACCTGAATGAGGCTGGAAACTGGCTGTATTACGGATTCTATTCAAGTAGTTAACAAAGGGAGTTAGTGTCTTCCAATTTCCTTTCCAGATGAAGGAAACATCAGTAAGTCTTCAACTTGGCATACAGTCTCTCTAAAAAGAGCTGTTGCATTGCTGGATTCTTGGTGTTCGACAAGAATGCTGGCATAGTTGGGTTTCATGTGTCAGAAGAAAAGTAGGGTTTGAAAATGTAATGGCCTAACTGTGAGTTTTTAGAATTTCTTTAAATTTCATTATAAGATTTCCAGCTAACAGTCTATGGCTGTTGTTTGAAATTTATTTAGCCCTGTATTCTAACAAGTATGCGTCAGTCATTTGCTTCCTCTGATCCTGAGGA